CAGCTGCGTGACCCTGGCCTCGGGGGCCCTGCAGTGGACACGGCACTGCACCTCGCGCACTGGCTGTGAGGGACGCGGCTCCTGGGTGTGACTGGCCGTCTCGGCCCTGCCCTCCGCCCCTGTGGCCCCTCCTGTGGGGGCCTCGCCTGGGGCGGGTGGGGAGGGAGCCGGGCCTGAGGCCAGCGCCACTGGGCGGGGAGGTGGAGGCCCAGTGCCCCGAGCAGGCCCTGCCTGCAGCCCTCCCCGCCGCTGGGTGCTGGCCTCAGGCCTCTGTGGCTCGTCCCCCGGCTGAGTTCTTCACTGTGAGCTACTCGCCGTGCTCCGCGTCCAGATCGCGGTGACCCCCGCGAGGACCCCGGTTTCTCTGTGGCGATGGGGCGTGCAGATGAGGTGAGGTCTGGCGGGCCGGGGGCAGCCCCGGTGCCCCACGGTCCATGAGGCCTGAGGTGGCCTCCGCCGGGGCTGGGCGCAGGAAGGCGCCCCGGAGCCTTGGGCCGCGGCCGGGGGCACAGCCCTGAGGGCGTGGCGGCCCCAGCCCCCCAAGGTGGACATCCTTGGCCCAGCGGTATAGTGGGGAGCCCGGGGTCCTGGGGCCCGTGGGGACTCTGTGACCCCAGGCCCACGGTCAGGGTGCCGGTCCCCACCGGCCCCCGCAGGCGCCCTCGCGTCTGGAGGGTGGCCAGGGGCCACCCAGAGTGTCCGCTGGGCTCCTCACGCGTGTCCTGTCCCTCCACCTCCTGACGCCGGAGGGCAAGGCCACCACCCTGGGCCCGTGTGGCCGGCCGCTGCACCCGGCGGGTCGGGGTCTGAGGACACCCCCGGGGCCTCGGGAGGCCAGGCCCACCCTCCGCTGTGTCTCAAGCAGCGGTGACACTGGACATCAGCAAACAAACGGAAAACAGAAGCAAGACACCGGTGAAGGGGCGGCCTGGCGCCCGGCCACTGTCTGCTGCAGAGGCGCTGCGACGCCCCCTGGCCCAGGCGCCCCCCGTGCTGCCTCACCCCTGCCCGGCGTGGCCGCACTGGCTCCCAGCCTGTGTCCACCGGGAAATGGCCCGGGAAGGACGGGCAGCTCCTGCGGACGCCGTGTGCCCCTCCCCTGAGTCACACGCCCGGAGCGGACCCCGAAGTCCCGCCTGGCTGCCAGGAGGGCCAGAGGCCTGGGTGAGCCTGGTCCCAACTGGAAGGAGGTGGCCGGGAGGCCCCGGGCGGGCCGGGAACCGACTTCCCCGCACACCCCTCTTCCAAGGCCAGGCGCTGGGCGTGAGCGGCCCCAGGGGGCTCCCTCCAGGGCAAGGGGTGTCAGGGAAGAAGGGGGACAGGCGCTCGCGGGGGCGTGCGGGCGCGTCCAGGGCCGGAGGGCCGCCTTTCCCTCTGCCC